ATCCCATTGTAGACAGGCGGGCGGCCAAGATCAGCCTTCGGAGCAGCAGCATTCATCAGGGCTGCTCCTCCGTCCTTGTGCTGCCTTATATTCTCACAGGAATTCATAAGGGACAGGACTTCCCCATTACCACCCACGGCAGCGAGGCAGAAACTGGCGAGTGTGCGCCCTTCTGGCTCTCAGCTGCGACACAATTTCTTCACTTCCGGCACACGTCTAATTCTCTGCGCTGTGGCAGCTGTGAAAGCCATCAGCCCATCTGAGCCCAGCCTGAAAGCTCTGTACAGGGCTCATCAGTGTGGTGGATCCAAACTCTGCAGTCTGCGAGCCTGACCATCCTGCACTGGACTCCTTCCACTGAAAGGTGGCTACAGCTTTGCCACTGCTGCCCAAGGGCGTCCTGTCTAGCAAGGGGATGCCCCGAGCCTTTCGTTCACGGTAAGCACGTGTAAATCACCTGCTTCCAGAGGAGCAGCTTCAATCCAGAAAAGTCTCTTCAGAAACTCCAGAGTCCTGGTGGCAAACACGTCAGCTTCCTCTAGCCCAGCGGTTCCCAGCCTTTTCCAGATGGGGACCCGTTTTGACAATTCAGGAAGACTTGGTGACCCAGGGCAATTCAAAACAATGTGTGACTGGCTCCTTAAGAGCCACCTGGCGACCCTTTGGAAATGTAATGGCGACCCATAGGCTGGGAAACCCTGGGCTAGCACCATGTCTAGCAGGTGGTCTGGCCTGCTGAGAAGGTATGGAGGTTCTTCCTGGAGTAACCCCATGAGTACCAGACCTCTGTGCTATAGGTGAGTGGTTCCCAGCTGGGAAGACACAAGCCCTTTCAGGGGAGCCCTGGCACCCCCTGCAGGACTAAAGCTGGGGGCCCCAGGGCTCCCCACAGGCCAAAAGCCTTGGGCTACCCATGGAGCTCGCCAGGAGCTGCAGGCCAAGCACCAGGCAGAGGGGGCAAGTGCAGGAAGAAACCGCTGAAGGCCGAGCGAGCGACCCACTCAAGTTTTTCACCCGCTGTCATTTCACAGTCTGAGGCCGTTCACACGCAGCTGCCGCCTTCTGGGCATCGCATCTTGGGGGGGGGAAGTTTAATCGAAACCAGTCCGTTCTCCAGGTAGCTCCTACAGGGATGGCTTGGCCAAGGAAGTCTATGACAACTCCCCTCGCGAGGGGAGAGACAATAGCCCTGCACATGAGCAATGGAAATGAGGGGGGCATCATGCCCGGGGTAGGTCGGGCAGGGGTGCCCAAGTGCAAGTTCACTCAGGGTGCCGCCTTCGCAGAGGCCGGCCCTGGCTTGCCAGGGCTCAGGGCTGTGCGTGTGGGTGCTGTACACACCACTGTTCAAAAGACACGTGTGTGAGAGGTCCATGCACCCCGAGAGTGGGACCCAACACCTCCTAGAATTAGTAACTGAGAGGAAAGCACCTGTTCATACAGAGGGGAGGTTCCTGCTCCCAGGAGGGGTTCTGCCGCCTTTTGATGGCATCGGCGATACGCCGATAAAGGCCAGGGTATGTTCTGGGCATAAATCAAAGAACTTGAAACTCAAGATGGCTCCTGCTAAGCAGTAAAATCAACCTTAGAGATGGCACAAACTGGCAACTTTTCAGGTATAAGCAGGCCAAAAGATTGATTAAGCACATGTGCATCTGTCACCAGTTGTAAATCTCTAGCTCTCATGCTATGCAAATAGCTTTCATTTCACAGCCTGCTTCCGCTTTTTATGCATTGAGCATAATGGTTGTTTTATAGGCAATATGAAGGGGAAGAAAATTGTTCCCCCGGGGGATAAAAAAGTTACTTAGAGCGTGCTCCTATAGAAGCAAGCGCAATGCTCCAGCGCCTTAACAAGCTGGTCGCCATTTGTTCAGTGGCAAACTTGGTGCTAATTTTCCCTGTCTGCGTCTGTCTGTCTGTGCTGGGGAAGGAAGCAGCAGATCAGTAATTTATCTCCGACCCAGGGAGGAGTGCTGCTGGAAAACTGACAGGTTCCCAGGAAAGTGTATTCTCCTCCGGCATTGTTTTGTTGAGCTGGTAATGCATCCCACAGGGGCAAAGCTGCACCAACGATGCACCGTGCAAATAAAGAATCATTCACTGCCACTAATCGGCTCCAGCCCTTTGTGCTAGACCTTCGGGGTCTCTCTCCACTTCTCCAAAACGGAGTCAGATCTCAGAGTAATCCTGTTGTCAGGCATTTAGGTGCCAACCTTGTTTTTCTTACCAACGATTTTCCTTAATGACGTAAGTGTCCTTGTGCTTTGGCATCGTATGCTGAGCCATTAAAGTTGTGATGTTCTGAGACGGTGCCCAATCTGAAGACAGGCCGCTGATCCCTGCCTGAGAATTGCAATATGGATCTTGTGGTTCCTTTTAGGGTTTACTTTCCACAAACGTGCTCTGGCTTAGAGCAGGTTCTCAAACTCAATTTACCTTGGGGCCAGTCTTCAGATCCTCCTAACAGACCAACAGGCATCTTCCTCTGGCAGGACTTGGGGCAGGGGGAGGGCAGGGGTGTCTGCAGCTCCTTTCTGCTGGCCTGTTCCTACCGCCCCGCCCCCCCTGGCATCCTGCAGCCCTAGCTCCCACCCTCGAGGGACCTAATACCCGCCAGTGGCGCCCACCTGCTGTGCAGCAGGCGCTAGAAAGGCTCCATGCCGCTGCCAGTGCATTCCTGTGGCCCGGGGAAGGTGTGTGCAGGGCTGGCTGGCCGGTCCCTAGGTGTAGCTGTGCAACTATTAACTCGTTTTGTGAAGCTGACTAGATATCAGTGATGCAGAGTCTCCTGATGGGCTCGCGTGCCTCCTGCTGACTGGGGCTTTTTTTGTTTTCCTGGAAATCCTCGCCACGTTGTTAGAATGAAGCCAGATGTGGGAACTTCACTGCCTCATGCCCTGCTCTCAGCTGTGACGGCTCGTAGTAGATTATGCTGGCTGGCTGGTGCCTGGTATTAGCGGACAGTCCCGGTTGCTGCCACTTTTTTTTTTTAAAGGAAGATTTTCAGTCTCATGGTTTGTGGAGAAAGGCTAGAAAATGTGCCCCGAGTTTAGCCAAAGATCCCAAACACCCGGTGCCAAATAAAAAGCTCCCCAAGTGTATTTGTATCTGATTTCAAGAAGCCCTTCCCTTTTTGGGGGTGAGGGTTGTCCCAGAGTGGTGAATGCTTGGGGTTGGCAATACAGAACATGCAAGTTGATGGTTTCTCCCCCTGTGTCCAGCAGCCCACACGGAGACCTGGATCCTACCAAAGACACGAAATGGAGTCCTCACCCAGACACCCCTGTTCCCTCGTGCTGGGAGCTCCCGCCCACTCCCTTAACATCCTCATCTGCGTGCGGGGATCCCTTGCCCCCACATGGGAAAACCAAAAGCGGAACCCCCTAGCCCCCGCCCTGCCGGATGAAGAAGCACATCCGCTCGGGCGGCTCCCTGGCCAGTGCTGTTCACATGGTGACAGAGGCAGCCAGTCCTGCTTCCCAGACGGAGTGGCACCCTCTGCAGCCAGGACTGTGTGGGTGTTTGGGGACCTGGGTCAGTGCCTATGGGCCTGGAGTTTGGGACCCCTAGCTTACAGGGTCACATGGGAGATACTACCAAGAATTCTTGCTAAGTGTCATGCATGCTGTCCAGGGGTGATCCAATCCATCTGCAACCAGTCGTCCCGTGGCTTACCAACAGGCATCTCTTGTTAGATGACAGACTTGTCATGTTCAGTAACGTACCAGTTTTCTCGTCCTCCGTCTCTCATCTGGTGGTCCTGCACGCTTCAGAACTTGGTGAGGAGGCAGATTGTAGCCTAAACTACTTATTTGCTGAGCTAACAATGTGCCAGCCTCTCCAGTATTACTCAAGTGGTTTGGGCCCTTTGGCTCTCCCTGCATGCAAGTCTCTAATGGGCCTTTGAAGTGGGGATAGTCTGTTCATTGAGAGGATAGAGAGACCTTTCAGTTTTCCTGCTGCTTGTCGTTCCAGCTGCGTTTAGACCAGGCGGGGCTGGAAGAGAAGAGAGGTGGGAAGCTAGTCTGAGAAGTATGATTCTGCCTCTTCGATTTCTTTTCTAGGGATCTTCCTCCCTCCAGTGGTTTTCTTTCCACTTCTGAATAGCCCTCCTGGTTTTCTTTCTTTTTGGATTTTTCATCTTCCCCTCTTTCCACCACAACATCTCAAGGGGGGTGGACTTGGGTGCGTAGGAGCAGCAGCCCCACTCCCATCCAGAGGCTGAGATTTGGGAGCTTTATTTTCTTGGGTCTCTGCCAAACTGGTGGAAGCAAGCCATATAAATTGACAATCCAGGTATGCCTAGCTTGATGCTCTATGCCAGGGGTTTGAAGCCCACAGGCCACTGATGGCCCAGTCAGCACACAGCTGTGACCCATGTCACATTCTCAGGCCACAGGGAGCGGTGGGGAGTGTGCACAGTGATAAAAAAGTGGAAAACGACTGCTCTATAAACACCTAACACAGGTACCTACACAGAGCTGTCTCTAGCATCCTTCAGGCTACAGCCCAAGTCCTTTGATTCTCTTCCTTTTGAACTGCTGTATTTTCAGACACTTACGATTTGTGAGACGCTGCTTTAGTCCTCTCATTTTCTCCTTCAGATTTCTTGGTGGTTTAATTGGGTGTGTTGCCCTAATTGGAGAGTTTGGGGGTCATGTTAATTATTCTGTTCAGTTTCGTTAAAGCACCAGACCTTTGCATACCTGCTGCCAAGAGATGAGTGATGATTATATTACTTGTCATCTTCAGAGGCGTATTGCAAAGATGAATTCGTGTTTGCAATTTATTTCCGAGATTTAAATGTCTGTGCAAGCAGTAAGGATGGTTGCTTTGTAATTCTTCTAGCTGACGTCATCTTTCAGAATAAGACTTCTGCCCACAAAAGTTAAGCCCTTGTCTGATTTCAAAGGAATGTATGGTTTGAAATCCGTCTGCCACCTCGTCCCCCTTCGGAAGCTGCATTGCAAACTCTAATGGCTCCTCTTTTCTTTCAGGAATCCAACGTGCTCATTGCTGCTAACAGTCAGGGGACAATTAAGGTGAGTTATTTCCTGCACCTCCATTTTTAAACCTTTGGATCCATTCCTGGGGAGCCGGGTCAGAGCGACTGTCCAGCTGATTAGTGGAGGTCAACCCAGCTGTGGGCGCCGGAAGCTTACACAATGCATTTACCTTTGGCAAAGGGAGAGGGGAATAAAGGGAAAGGAAGCCAGAAGAGCCAGGTTAGGAGGCAGGTGTGGACAAAGGGTGGCAAGTCTCCAGCAGCCACTGTGCAGTTGCCCATGCTCAGGGCCTCTGCAGGATGAGAGAAGCAGCCGTAGAGTGGGAAAGCTTAAAACAAGTTGCTGTACATTGCCCTTGAGATGAGCCAGGCCGTGCTGGCCTGTTTTCACGTACGATCAGTGTTCCTGTACTAACAAATAAGCGCCACGTTTTATTTGCCACTAAAACCGCTAGAGGTTTGTCATCAATCCCAGTGTCTGGGAATTCGCTTTCTTCGTGAAAGGCCTTTAATTGAATGCCCCAGCCCCACACACCTGCGTAAGCAGTCCTGGATCTGTGCTAATCTTTGTGGCTGTGAGCCTCGATTTTAGGAGGCTTTGACTTAGTTCCTTGGTGTTTGTCCAGCAGTTCTCAGGCTGTAGGTCGGGACCCCTTGGCAGGGCCGACATTAGATTTGCTGGGACTAAGGGCTGAAGCCAAAGCTCTGCCCACAGCAGGGCAGCTCCCCTTTGCCCCACCCGGAGGCAGCAGGGCTCAGGTTCCCCCCCACATCCTGCATCACATAGTAACTTGTCAGAAGGGGATTGTGCTGCAGAGACGTTTGAGAACCCCATGTTAGCCAGACGCAGTCCCCTGACTGCTGCCAGAGAGTGGGGGGGCCAT